GTAGAACCACTTGCATGTAGGAACTAACAAGAGGAAAAAGTCTTGCTAACATCTAAACAGTGAAAATGCAAAATGCCTTTATAAGTGGACATTAGCAGAAATATCTACCAAAGCTACAATTAGCGATTAATTCTCTATAGCTCTTCCAACTTAAATACTATCATTTGCTAAGCTTATGTCATGCAAACGCGCAATCAGCTGAGAGGTCAGTAGTTTGAACCCATTCGGTGGCCCTTGAATAGGCCTGGCGGTCTAATGCCTGGCAACCTGCTTCTGAAAGAACATAGCCTTGAAAACCCTATGGGGAAGTTCTACACCACACCACACCCCACACTCAGGGTCTTCGTCAGTCATAAGCAACCCAATGGCCACTAACAAGACACAATTCCACAATATTTATGTATAGCATTCTTTCCCCTCAATATTCCTAAACGTTTTACTTGTAATATAGTCTGATCTAGAATTGAAAACACATGACTAAAGCACTATATCCCACTGCTCTTATTTCTTCTGCTTAAGTCCTGTTTGAAAAATGTCTTAAGATTAAAAAATGAATGTGGCTCTACACTGAGTACTTTTACATCTTCCATGAAAAAATTAAAAATAGACAGTAATATTGTTATGCGGTCCTCACCGAGTCGTAAAGGTCATGGGCATACATCATCTAATAGGGAAAACCAATTTGGCAATTCAGAACCTAAATAACTTCCTTGTACAGGGTAAAAGATGTTAAGTTACTCATAATCAAGTTTAATCTATAACAAATAAGATTAGAAAATTTTAAGGAAATGAAATTCCAAGAAGAAACCTAACTTCTCCACAGAAAAAGAAATAATCAAACACAGCAGTATATGTATACGTATGAGCAAAGGCATGTTATTTTACAATGTCAACTAGGGAAATCCAAATGTATATAATATATAGAAAAGGAAAAATCACTAATGGATTAAACCACAAGCCAATTTTCTACTTTTAATAGCTCTGGGGGGACAATTTTTGGAGTAAAACTGACTACTGGATTAAGTTAGGTTTTTAAGTTATATATAAATTTCAGTGACTTCCTTTGGTCCCTATTTTCGCCAATAATGAAGAATTCGCTCTCCCTTTCCTGGTTCTGCTACATGCCCAGGTTTCATACTTTAATTTGCTGGAAAAGAAGAGTCAAGGAAGAATCAAGTTCTCTATGGGTCATCAACATTTTGTCAACATGTCTTAACTTTCTTTGTGAGATGAATAGAGTAACAATGTTAATTTGCACTAAAACTGACCAAGAAATATCCACTCACCAGGTGTATGACCTACAGCATATGTTACTATATGATGATTAGGGCAAGAAATAAATTAAATTCCTAACCACTCCAAGCTAATGTAGATATCAATGGCCTCTGTACATTCTAAATACTCCTGAAGTTCTAAATACTCCTGTACATTCTAAATACTCCTAAATGCAACTCCTGAAGTTCAATTTTATTTTGGCCACTTGGACCACCGGAGGGTGCATTGTGAAGTAGGTAGTTCTGAGTAGAGAACCTTCCACTTTTCTCCTTTAGTTAAAACAAGGCATTTTTTAAAACCAGCAGTAGTCAGTCACTACCCTTTGGGCTTTTCAGCCCTCTTCACTCAGAGACAAACACAGAATCCCAATAAGAAAACAGGCAAAATAGAGGGGTCCATGTACTCAGACCCAACATCTAGTTAGCTAGATGCTAAGGCTGGAACTCAGGAATTTTCACTGAGCTCAAAACATAGGAGCATATTATGCTGAATACATATCATCATGTTGTCAGTAACTTTCTTATTTCTTAAAAGGAAGTATAAAGTTTACTGGCTTAAAGAACTAGCTTTATTTGATTTGTCACACGATGATTCCCAAGCACCACTACCAATCTGCCCACATCTTTCTGACCCCACAAAGTTTAAAACAAGGATACTGAGAAGTTTAGTCTCCTGTTCTGGAACTACCCATTCCATCTGGCTAATAATATTTTTAAGCCCTGATAACTGTCTAAAGTACTGAAAGTATTGAAACTTTTTTCAATACATTTAACAAAATTAAACAATACCACTGCCCTAGGGGAAAGCATGAAACCGCCAAGAGAATATTGAAAGGCGAATGGGCATACAAAGTAAAAGATCTGAACTTCAGGCTCATATATAAAAGAGATTTTTATAAACACATTACAGTTGAGTCGATTTCCAGCTCTTACCAACCCTAAGGAACAAAGTAGAATTGCCCCAGGTTATTATATTCTTTCCTTCCAGTACAGTGGTTCTCAACCTTTCTAATGCTGTGACCCTTTCATACAGTTCCTCATGTTGTGGTGACCTCCCAACCATAAAATTAGTTTTGTTGCTACTTCATAACTGTAATTTTGCTACTGTTATGAATAGGGCGACCCCTGTGAAAGGGTCTTTCAACCCCCAAAAGGGTTGCAACCCACAGGCTGAGAATCACTGCTCCAGTAAAATACTCTGTGTAACGCTGTTGAAGTCTTAAAAACTCAGTCAATAGAAATGGCTTCGGTAAAATCACTCAAAGTCATTGCTTCCAAGTTCAAATTGCTACCATCGCCATCACTTCTTACACCTTAATTCTGGCAACATGTCAAGCACCTTCTATGAAAGGCGGTATAGTGAATTCTGAAACAAGGCTCACATTGACTATATTGACTGGTCTAAACCAGGCTACCTTTCTGGGGTGGTCTTCTCAAATTATTTAAGCATATACATTACAACTTCACCTCTTCAACATCAACCAAATTTTAAAATTTTGGTTTAAAAAAAACACAAACTGAAGTTCAAATGTCCTCAAGCATATTTAATGGCCCCCAAGTTATCTAAACATGTCTTGAAGGGGGAAAAAAAAGCCTTGGAGTGCTTAGCACACAGTCACCAGTCAATATACACATTAGAAAAAAACCAATACAGTTATATTTGCAATCCATTCACTGACATGAACTCTGAGGCACAATGACTATCAATGCCCAGCTGCTTGCAAAGTCCTCTCTTGATTCAAGTCTGGTCATTGTCTATAGCTAGTGAGCCTTAGAATCACCTAGAAAGTTTATTTAAAATACAAACTTTTGACCCCCTCCCCCAACCCCACAAAAAATTCTATTTCCAGACAGGAGATTCTGTTTATAATGTGCTATCCAAGTGAACTCGGAGTGAGGTTGTTAAGAAGATCATACTTTGGGTAACACAGGCTCATTCTTACATTGGGCATGATATTTCTAAGCTAAGTTATTATAACTTACTCAATTATCTTAGTCATAATTCACTAATGTTTAATAGGCAAGACAAAGCATGACATTAACTTTTGCTTTGACAGTGCAAACTATCACTCAACCAACCAAAATATTTTTCTGAAATACTAAGCTACTGTCAATGTTTAGGAAACAGTAGGAATAGAGCAAGCTAAGGATTTAATACAGAGAAATGTATGTAACCAAGTTGCAAAAGTTTTAGGGAGAAACATAGCATAGAGGCAATGCATGCTCTTGAGTAAGATTACTGAATTGTCTAATACAGTACACAGAACCTATATATGGCTATTTAAATTTTAAAAATTTAAATAGAGCTCCTTAGTCATACTTGCCACATTTCAAGCACTCAATAACCATATGTGGTTAGTTCTTAACACACTGGACAACACAGACAACATTTCCACAAAAAATATCCTATTGGATAGCACTGGTCTATATAAAATCTACTATATACTACTGGTCTATATAGATTCTACAGAGTCAGAAGGTGCCCAATGGCAATTTTCAACTTTACACATATACATCTCCTTTAAGTATTTTCGCTCAAAGTGTAATTGTATACATTTCATATTACCAAAACAGAGATATTTAACTAAAGAGATCTGAAAGTATCAGAGGCACTAAAATCACAACCAGGTTTTCACCAACGAAGAATCAATGAAAAGCATTTAATTATTAGATAACAAAATATTACATAAAATAGGATTGTGATCAGCAAGGTTAACATTCTTAAAAGGACTAATTTTCCAACTACTTCAGAAATAATTATTTACATGTTTAAAAAATAAGAATGACTTTATAACTGGTTTCAGAATGGCCTTACCCCCATTAAATCAAACTAGTGATTTTCTTTTCTCTTTCTAAAACCACAGACTAAAACAACTACAAATAATCAACAGAATGATATGGATATATGTGTACTTAAATATACATTTACAAGCAAAGGACTATTTTTGATGTCACAATCTACAACTTCAGTATTTTTATTTCAACATCCTGAGCAAATCTTGATTTTAGCAGAACAGTAGCTATAAAAGTTAACTGAACAACTTGCAGTTTAAAATTTATTATCTCCCAATTACATGGCTGTCTAGTTTAAATTAAAACACAAAAAAAGTCTGGGTAAATAAGATACTCAAGCTTAAGAAGTAACTTAAGAGTTTTAAAAAGTGAGCCATATTATACTGTTGTGTTAAAACTTCACCAGACTCACAGCTCTACCCTAATGCAATGTTAAGTCTATGAACATTTTGACTAAGGTTCTTTCTGAAGGGTTCAAATGTGTTGAAATAAGATCTCTGGCTTAAATTCGGAAGACAATGATGATTCTAACCTGGGACATTTTGTTCTCTGAAAGAATAATCTTTACAAACTACCCATCTAACAAATGTAATATATAAACCAATAATAAAAGCCATCCCCCATTTAGATATAATAATCATAATAATTACAATTGGTAGTTTAATATTAAACTGTTTATTCCTTTGATTAATTATCTGCTTACTTCAGAGGTCTATGACAAACCTAAGAGGTAGCCAGAAATAACAGAGTTATGACTACATTTCCCACAAATAACGCACCCACATAAAACAGTGTGCACTCCCATAAAGCACGCATAACTAATACAGGAAGCTCACACAGAAGGGATGTGGACAGCTTGAAAAACTGTTTAAAAAGGAAAACGCACACATTATTTGCACAAAAATATGGCAAAGCTATTTAAAATGTACTTACCTGCAACACTAGTGATTGTAACTGGAACTCCCTGCACTTGAACACCTGCAGCACCCAGGTTGGCAACACTCACTGTCTGAAGGTTAGGCACTGATGCGAGCTGGGCAGTATTCAGAGTTATTGGGGCACCAGCAACAGCCACAGGAGCAATCTGAGCAAGAGTCGTGCCACCACTTGAAGACACTGGGGTGATGGTTAATTGCTGGGATAACCCAGCATTCTGAACTTGCAAATTTGAAAGACTCTGAATATTTTGAACCTGTACAGTTTGCCAACTAATTTGCCCTGAAGGTGTTAGAGTCGGAGCCCTGATAAGCACCTGAGTCGGATTTACTGCTTGAAGTTGAACATTCTGTAAAGGCTGCTGCTGGATGGTCTGAATCGTCTGCCCTGACTGGAGTTGAAATGACTGTGGTGGAATGGCCTGAATAATCTGTTGCTGAGGTTGCTGGATCTGGATCTGTTGTAAAATAGGCTGGCCTACAATTTGCACCTGCTGAAGTGAATTTGATTGCTCCTGTGCATTCTGTAGTCCATTAGGCTGCAGCTGACTAGAGCTCTGGGCTTCAGACTCATTGGCAGCAGGTGTTTGAGATTCTTCAATGGTGCGTTCCGAACTACTGGCTGATGTGCTTGCATACTGGCCCGTGTCTGCTGAGCTCACTAATGTGTCACTGCTCGTCAGAGATGTAGAAGCAGTGGTTGTGCAGGTAGTGGAGGAGGAGGGAGATTCCGGCATCGTACTGGCAGAAGCAGTGGTGGTAGTGGGTGTGGAAACCAACGGATTCCCATTAGAAGTCCCACTATCAGTAGTAGGAGGAGGCTGGCCAGCCTGTCCGGTCCCTCCTCCAGCAGTCACATTGTTTATCACTGGCAAAGCTAAAGTCACTCCTCCGATGTTAATTGGTAGGGTTGTTACAACTTGAGCCTGGGTACCAGGGAGGGTTTGTAATTGGAGTGGTATTGAAACACCGGGTCTAATTTGGACTGGAACTGTTTGGTTGGCCAGGTTTTGAGCAAGAATATTCCCAGAAGCTGTCCGGTTAGCAGCGGTGAGTATAGCTTGATTATTACCCGCAGAAATGAGCTGAATTTGACCCTGCAAATCCTGTAGAGACGAACTACCAGTAGGATTGATTTGGATTTGCTGGCCTTCCACTGTCTGGAGTTGTGGAATCACTTGGTACTGCACGTTACCACTTGGATTTTGTACTTGTATGACTTGAAATTGAGCAGGGGTGGAAAAACTACCTGATTTCGTTTTTGTCGGAGATGCATTCCCGTTATTACTGCTGGAAGAACTAGATGAGCTAGAAGCTGGTTGAGAAATGTTATTTTCTTTTGAAGCGGGGGGAGTGGAGGCAACCAGTTGCCAAGCGTTTCCAGCAAGTTGTGTTGTTACCAGTTCTAGCTGTTGTGGCTGATTTTGAAGTTGCACCAATCCTTGGCTTGGATCTATTATAATTTGTTGTTGTCCAGTTGCTTGATTTTCACCAGGAGTCCCTATTTTGCTGCAAGTAGCTGCCAGTAATGCCAGAGGAGAGGGCTGAGAGTCCTACCCAAACAGGGTGGTAAAGGAGAGGAAGGGAAAAAAAGTGGGCAGATTTAGTGGAGGCCATTAATTGGGGGGATTATTTATTACTTTTTTTTTTTTTTGACAGCTCTAAATAATCCAAACTTACCGTGGCAGTGGTGGCAGAAATAAAAAAAGAAATATAAAGCTAAAGCAATAGGAGACCTGTGACATAAACTTTAAATAAATGGAAAATTTCTAACAACTTTCTTGAAAAGTGTTACTTCCTAAACTTAAAATGCCCTCTGGAAAATAACAGTTTTCTTACAGTCTATGAGTTTTTGATGTAATTTAAAAATAATGTTATACCCTCAATTATGTGAAATCTGCATGAACTTATAATTTAATTTTTAAGTTCCTCACTTTCAGAAAGATGTTTTGAGTAAACATTTTTATTCTGTTCTTCACTTCTGGGATTTACAGGGTATAACTGCCTCTCCTCTAATGTTTGGGGATGCATTTTTTTTTTTTTTTAGTATGTTTGCTTTTTACCTGGGAGCCTGAGGTTTTGGGTTTTTTATTGTTATTCTCTGGCTCAGAGGTTTTCCCTCCTTCTGTAGCCATCGCCACTGCTGCTGCCGCCTCCTCCTCCTCCTCCTTCTTCTGATCTGCAAGAAACCCCATGTACACGACAACAGGTTATTAGGATTATTATTATTCGTCTTTCCCCTCCCCTCTTCTCCCCCTCCCCCCCCAACATTAATCTCCATAAACCCGCGATCCAAGCACACGGGAGGGGGTGGGGGAAAGGGAGGGAAGGGAGGAGGGGGATATCACAAAACGTGGTTTGAAACCCGACCCATCGGCTTCAGAGCAACACCCAGAAGGAGGTTGTTCCCTCTCAGACATTAAGACAAAACACAACCCTCCCTCCCTCCCTCCGTCTCCTCCTCCCCTTAAAGCATCTCAGCGGCCCCAGGGGAGGGAGGAGAAGCGAGCAGGGTCCGGGGAGGGAGGCGGTGAAGGAGACCGAGGGGGGTGGAGAATACGTACCGCTCATCCCGCATTAACAGGACAAACCCTCAGACGGAGACACTGGGATAGAGGTGGGTGGGGGTGGGGGCGAGGCGGGAGGAGAGGCCGGTCCCGCCCGCCCGCGGTGGCTCGGAGGAGGCTGTAGCTGGCACAGGCTCTGCCTCTTTTTCCGCGAATGGCCGCCGCTGGGCTGTGGCGTAGCAGCTCCTCTCCGCCCGAGCCCGG